TTGGGTTGATTTTTCTTTGTTAAATGGCATTTAAATATATAAAATAAATATCAAAAATGTAAGTCTTTGTTTTACTATGGTTGCAAATATCAAAAAATTTCTATATGTGACACGGCACCAGAGTTAAGTTAGGGTTTTTCAAAATGCTGACACGCCGAACTCAAAAGGTTCGCCATCACCGGTCTACAGGAACAAGGCTCTGCGTGCACTCTATCCACTATGTTTATAGCTATGCTCACTATCATTGCTTGTCAGTCTTCTTCTGAGTCTTAAACAACCCAATCTGAGAGGTGGCCACTGATTTACACGTGCTATCATTGAAAAAATAAAAAAAGGGTAATTTGCCAGAAGCCGGTCCATCCTTGCTGCTTGACACAGTCACTGCAGGGACAGGACTAAGGAAGAGAATAAATCAGTGAAACCCCCTAGTGTTACAGAAATACCATGTACTGCTTATGAAGAACTTGGACTAAGACTGTTGGCAATAAATTTGGGACTTATTGGGCCCACATCCCCAGGGGTCTGCCCACCAGGGAAAGCACCAAAGCCTATACCCCTGGAGACGCACTGACACAGGGCAGTCCCGGGGAAGGCAAGCAACGAGGCTGGGAGGACATAACCTTTACTGGGTAGGATAATCTCCTTCAGTCACTTCCTTGTAGCTTATCAGTAGAGCAGTGACCTTGGAATAGCCCTTATAATGGAACACAGATTAACCTAGACAGGATTAAACTCAACAGAACTAGATTAACAAACGCCCTAATTTTGGAATAGAATGGATAGGGTTAAAATCAACTGGTATAAATACAGATGTAACAGGACAATAAAGACAGAACCTGGCTGGAGAACCTGGCTAGGCTGCTGATCAACTGAAAAAAACAAAACAAAACAAAAAAAACCCTCTAAGCCAAAAAGGAAAGGGAAAAAATACAGGGTGCCTGTATGACCCGGGTTGGAAAAAGAGCTTTCTGAGTGTTTACAGTGGAACAGGAGAAATTCTGTGGCTGCTGCATGTTGGAGAGTTTGTAAATGAGGGAATGAGAAAAATATATTTAAGACAGCCTTACTGTGTTATATGCAATAATTCTCCTTTGGCTACCTGATAAGACAAAGTAGTAAAGATATAAATTTCCTTTAAATTATTTTAGTTGCTACTTTGTTGTTTCTTTGAATGTGAAATGCTGCCAAAACAAGGCTAGCTTTGTGTGGCTTATACTCCAATGACCTCTGTACAGAATAATAGCATCCAGGCCTCCTGTGGTCCCTACCATCTGCCCATTGTCTCGCAGTGCGCGGGAAGGGACCTCTCCATCTGTCCGGAATTTTCTTATGCAAGAACAATACCTTCTCACTTTTTTAAACCCTAGAAGTTTTCTTTTAAAAAGTACAAAGGACATAATGGGGGAATCTGAACTCCAAAAGCACCCCCATCAAATATAATTTTGAGATGTCTCAAATCTTTCCAGGGATCATTCAGAGCAGTGGTTTCTAGCCTGCTTCACAAATGTTCATGGGGAAAGGCTACACCGTTACCTTTTGATTGTAAAAATACCTGTGTGGCCCTCACTGGTTTGGCTCAGTGGATAGAGCATCAGGCTGTGGACTGAAGGGTCCCAGGTTCGATTCCGTCCAAGGGCACATGCCTGGGTTGCAGGCTTTATCCCCAGTGGGGGATGTGCAGGAAGCAGCCAATCAATGATTCCCTCTCTTCATTGATGTTTTATCTCTCTTGCCCTCTCTCTCTGCCTCTCTGAAATCAATAAAGATATATTTAAAAAAATAAAAGAAGAAATACCCAACTACTTAAAAAAAATACATGTGTGTGTCCTTAGAAACACTAGTTTAGAGGAAGAAGAAATAATATACTGGATAATTCTCCAACTCCATATCCATCCTTCCTTCTGCCCCACCCCATTCTTCTACACCAAGTCTGTGAGTGCGACCTGAGCATTCTGAACCCCAGGCAGCACCACCACCCGGCAAGACAGCTTAGTCCAAAGCCGCATTCTCACAGCGGTTCGGTTCCGCTGCAGGTGTGGGAGCACGCTGCCTGGTGGGGACACACCCTGCAGGGTCTCAGAGAGAACTTGGGGAGTGTGGGAGGAGAGCAGAAGCCTCGCAGCCATGCAAGTGGCGTCTGCAGGCCTTTGCAGTTGACCTTTAATGACAGTCTAGCTTCCTAGGTGCACTCAGGGCAGTAAGAGGGTATTTTGATCAGACGCATAATGAAAATAATATCTTCTGACCTGCTTATGTGTCCACATTGTTTTGAAGATTTAAAGATGCAGAAAAAAAATGCACTTAGAAATTGTCATTATAAGTACACGGTGATGTTATAACTTCCAAATTAAAAAAATAAAATACTTATAAGCTGGGTGTAGTATTAACCCTGATTATGAATAACTAAATTGCCACGCACTATAGAGACAGTACTTTTAAAAATATACACCTTATTCGGAGACTCTAAACTAAAGCGCAGGAAGTTCTCACTTTTTATATCTAGATACTGAATTTCCTTCCTTTATTTACTTCAGCCCTGTTCTCCACTAGTGGAAATTCTTCTGAGCAGAAGTATTTCCTTACGTTACATCACACACAATCTCGGTCTCTGCCTCCGCCTTCACCTTTATGTCCATCTCTTTCTGCCCTAATAACATGCCATCTTTCCCACCCTCTCTGCAGATGACAAAACAGGCCTCCCTCGTATTCTTTTACCTTAATATCTGACTTCAATATTTGTTTGAACTTGTTAAAGGACTTCTTTAAACATTAGCAAAAACAGACTATGACAAAATATCACAGAGAAAAGAGAAAAGATGGGGGTGGGTGGGTGGG